AATACGACTTGTGAAGGTAGAAGGTCAAGAGTCATGCATTTCGTTATATTGTCTGTTTCCTAGACCATACTGGGTTTCATTTAAGAACAAGGTATCTACAGTGTTTACGTCTGTTTTTTCACATGTGAGGTCCATTTAGGACCTTGGATGATAGTCAAGGAGCTGTCTTAGTTCTGAGACTTGAGACGATTGGTCTGAGGACGTCTTTAGACTGCTGCTTCGCAAAACCAACCAACATTTTAAATTCACAAAGAGACGTTTCTTGAAAACCAAACTGAATCCACAGGAAGTCCAGTCGGTGATTGCTGTCATTGTCCCGGTTACCAAGAATCCAGTTATTAAATGAATGATTGGTGATTGGAGAGATTGGTAATTATTATGAACCTCGTTTCTATGGCGATCATGGTCCTATAGTGCGATCTCCACAAATTGAAGAGAGCAAAGAATAGAAAAAAATCTGTTCACCCTATCAAACATTGACCAATGGGAGCCATCCGTCCCGGACAGCTCCTACTGGTCAATCTCCTGCTCCGCCTCTCCATCCAATCACCTCGCTGTATTCAACACACCCCTCTCCTGTAGTTCCGACTCGTCCCCTCCCCCTCTCCTGGCCCTCCTCGGAGCTCTGAGCGGCTAAAAGTAGCGTAGCAGCTTAGCTACAGGAGCTGCCAAGGATGCAAAAAAAAAACACTTCTGCTCGCCCCACCGCCAAAAGTAGGAAGAAAACGCAAGCCGACAGAAGAAAGGGCGGAGTCAAAGAGGAAATGTGACCAAGGAATCTAACTCGAATAAACATCGGGTCATCCTTCGAGCGGTGGAGAAAACTCCGCCAACAGATGCCGAGACAGCAGAGTTTTTGTTGAACAGGTCATTTTTATCTCCTTTTATCGTGGCTCATGCTACATAAATAACTCTTATTAGTCTCTGACATGTTTACAACCAGCGCGGCCATCTTTAAACGTCAACTCGGGGGCTGTGTTGATCATCTGACTCTTCAAGTTGGAAATCCAACCTTGACGTCCGTTCCAGTTGAAAGTTCCGACTTGGAGCTCGTAAATTCCTTCCTCCGACCTTAAGCCTTCAATGTGCAACAAAGCAGAACCATAACCACGACACTTTTAATTCATCCTGTCTCTTTATATCCGCTCTTCTGCTCAAAGGTCTTCCTCTAGTTTGCATTAGATTAAGAGCACTTAACGGCAAACGTAGGCGCACAAAAGACCCAACACCATTAAGAGCCATTAAGTTGGACGGCTCTGTACACACCGCTCATTACGTCACCTCTGGAGCTGTTTGCAGATCCGACGCCCGACCGACAGGTTAATGATCTCCATTCTCAGTTTATACAGCTGATTTGTGCCCCATGACACAGCAGAAGAGCGCCACTCTCTACCGAAAACTACAACAGTCTTTTTTCAACTAAAAAAAGAAAAATTAAACGACACAGAAAGTCCTCCACCTCTCCATGAAACCTCTTTGTCTCTGTTGTGTTTATCTGCTGGAGTGCTGGCACACACGCCCACAGCTCATAATCCTCACCGCAGTTCGCCGGAGTAGGCTGCGCTGTGCCTCGTTCATTTAATTCATCTTGCACTGTTTTACTGAAGTGCTGCAGGTGGCTGTTCCTGTAATATCACACAGCAGAAACGAACCCGCCGCCGCACATCCTCGCAGAGCCGCAGATCCATGTGTCTTCAGGCCTTCGGCACAGTGAGCGGACACACGCTGCTGACCATCGTGTCCGCCTGCAGGCACAAACAAGACTCACTGGATGAAAGCTGGCAGATGAGGCTGAAGGCATGCGCTGAATTATAATATTTCAGTGTGTGTGTGTGTGTGTGTGTGTGTGTGTGTGTGTCAAAATCATGCTTCCAGCAGTTCAGGGTTGAATCTTGGAGAAAACACTGAAAGCATTAGAAAGATGACTCATGTTTTGCTTTTAGGGGTAAACACTTCAGATCTGTGTTTTCCATTTGCAAAATGGATATTAGGTAATTTAAAAAAAAAAACATTAATAATAAAAAAGATCACATGGCAAAGAGCTTCATGAAAACTGTGATGAACCCTTTTTATTTCTCTGCCTAATTAGATAATTCGATCATCAACACCATTAGTCATTGTTTTTGTTTTTTCTTTGCCAGTCGTATCCTGTTCAAACGAAATACCACACTTCCTATTATTGGTCATTTTTATCCGAGATTATTCAAAAATAGAGCCAAGACTGAAAAAAAGAGGATTTTTTTCTATTGGGTTTATTAGATGGCTTTAGAATCAGCACACTAATAAAAGAGTCATCGGCATAGACGTGAGCATGACAACCATTCAGCGAAGAAACACGACACTCAGTTGGACTAAGATAATAAGACGTTGTTTTTTTTCCACTGAATCGGACTTCTCTTCTTGTCGGTCAGTGTCAGACGTCAGAAGTGTCTACAACTGCTGCTGGGCATTTTGGAGAAACAAGAAGATGGAGCATCGTACAGCGTTGTTTTTGTCCTACATGATGGACGCGCTACTTTTTCTAAAGATGAGACGAACGCTACTCCTCTACTCTGGTGGTTTTGTTCCGGGGTTACGGGGCGTGGAGCACATTGTCCGATCATACTCCGACTACGCTGGTTACATGTTAGAGAAAATGGAATTCCAGCCGCATTATCTGGGTGTCTTTATCGGAGTTCTTCAAGTCCAGTCGGAGTTTCTAGTCAAACTCAGGTGTTTACATGCACAAGGCAATAATTCTGTTTTCTTGAGTGTCATGTAAATGTACTGAGTAACACAAAGAGTGAAGATTATGGTGTTCAGAATTGATCCTTGTGGTACACCTTTATTAATAAACGAAAATTCAGATTTGACCCGCCATATTTTGGCTCACTACCTGTCAGTTCTAAGATTATAGTCAAGGCTTAACTGATATACCAATATTTACAATATTTGGATATCTAATTTACCAAGTCTTCTTTCTTGTCCTTTCTTAATCTGATATCCTTATTTTAATACCGTTAGTGTAACTTTCTAAAGAGGGCGCTGTAGTCCCCATAATGTGATGAAACAGGAACAGATTCTCACACACTATAGTATATTTCCACTCTGCTTGTGCAAGTAGGCTTCAAATGTTCAGCAGAAATAAGCAACTGTACACAGTGTGTTATTTTGTAGATGGACTGATGTTTTATGAGGACGTAGATTTTCTGAAAGTGTCGTCCCACAATGTACAAAAACAACTTCAGCCGTACACATACATAATCGTTTTTTTAATGCAAAATGTCATTTTTAATGCCCTAATGATCTTTAATAGCACTCTGATTTGCTCTGTGAACTCTTTTTGGTTACTTTTTTTCTATTTGAGGACTTGTGGTATTTCCTTTTATTCCTTATATAATATACCATGACAGCTCTGCTCTTTGTCTGGACCTGTTCTCAGTGACGTTTCTTGGAAAAAAAAAAAAAAAAACTATAGGAATTGGTGCTCATTGAAAAAGTGATGAATAGTGTAGCTTGATAAAGACACGTTCATGACAGGTTGTAGGTTCGGATATATGTAATCTTGTTTCAAAATGAACTCTGGTAACACTGGAAACCCTTTATTCACAAATGTCGAACAATTATCTGGTCTCACATTTTCACAGACTGTTTTTTTTTTTGTCTTTGAAAGCTGCTGAGAATTTCTGAAAATGTCAAGATGTAAACATATTTTTCTTCCAAATGTTACATCGATGTTTCTCTGAAGAGGACTGCGAAGGTTTTTTCCCACATGTACCATCTGAAAGATTTCTGAGAAGTGGCATTTGTCTGAAACGCTTTGAGCCATTTATATCCCCGATTACTCTGGCATATAAAAAAGTCCGCTCTTATGAGTGCATTTTATGGGTTTTTTATCCAATTAAGAACAAAACACTTGATTGTTCCCTTTTTAGACATCCTTTAAAGAAACCAGGAAGTGGTTCTGTTTGCCAAATTATTCTCTCCATCCTCTGCAGAGATCAGCTCATGACATGAACCCATGGTAAACTGCTGAACTGTCACACTTTGTCCCCTCCACCCTAACAGAGACACTAAACTAAAGCAGAAATCTACAGGACTGGTAACCAGCTACAGGTCTGTGTAATGTGACCACGTGAGTCGGCTGTAGTCCACCTAATGTAATGAAAATAGGAATGTGCACAGACACACACACACTTATTATATTTTGCACCAAACATGTGAAAAATATTATCCAATAATTCAAACAAAATACAAAACAACCTTGAAGGGTGCGTGTGAATTTACATCGAGGCTTTTTTTTCCAAGTGTTGAAAAACTTTTAAGATTGTAGTCCCCGTTATATAGTAAAAACAAGCACACACACACACACACAATGGTCATTAAAACAATAAACAGGAAATAGAAAATCTCTTTTACCAACATGATCATAAAAATGAGAATCCAAAAAATGTGTTTGTATAAATGTAAAATTGGGTACATGGTATATTCAGTGAAAAATCCCATAATGGCCAGTGGCGCCCCCTGCATGCTTAGGTTTGCATGACAGTTGAAAAGTGTACATGTGTTGGGAAGGTGGTAGTACACAAAACCACAACTGGAAGAGGACTTGTCACCACCTACTGTAGCGGAGGCAGACACGCTTCTCATCGGAGCGATCGCACGTTATTAACTGATGACCGATCAAACGGCGATATATATACTTTTTATAAACAATGAAAAACTTCGGCTACCTTCTGCTCCTTTGTGTTTCCTCTTCATTCACTGTGTTTGCATGTCGCAGAAGGACAGCATATTTGTCCAGAAGTTGTTTATTTATATTCGGACAATAACTTTTGTAGGTGTAGCCATCTTGTTCCCGCCTCCGATTTTGCTTTTTTCTGACTTGGTAACTGAAATGATGGTCTCACACGGTTACCGGATTGTTTGTTTTTGCAGCAGATTCACCGTTTCTCAGTGAGCTCTTCAGATTCCATCCAAACTGTCGTGTTTTGAAAGTAAACATCATCAGTTCGTGAGGACTTGGATCGTCTTTAGAAAAGCCAAAATGACGCCTCTCTTCTCCTTTTCGCTCCTCCTCGTCCTCCTCTGGTTCGCTGGTGTTCAGAGCTACGAGGCTCCGAAGGAAAAAGAGGATGTGTTCGCTAAAAAAGCCTGTCCCGCCTTCCTCACCTTTACCAACGCTGCTCACCTGGCTGGAGTCACTGTGGAGCTGCCCTGCCACTGCAAACCTCAACAGGTAAAAACTCCAAAGGAAAATATGATGGATGGAGAATTTCTAAAAGGTTTATATGTGAGTGAGGTGATCAAAGTGGAAACGAGACTTTGGTTTTTCCCTCTGAAACTAAATCAGAGGAGAAAACCATCCAGGTCTGTGGTATTGATCGAGTTAAAGGCATTAATGTTTTTTTTCCCTGTTTCAGATCCAATCAGTCGTGTGGTTCTTCAAGAAACACTTGGGTGGCTCCGAGGAAACCAAAGTCCTGACCGATCGCCATGGCAACAAGCTGCTGGACCCCAATCGTGTCCCTCACAGCGGAGACCTGCAGAGCCGATTCTCCATCCGCCTCTTCAGCCTCCTGATCTTCAGAGCGGGGACGGGCGACTCCGGCGTCTACATCTGCGGCTCTGCAAAGCGAGACTTCTTCTACGCTTACGATCTGGACATCCAGGAGGCGCGGAAGTTCAGCTTCACTCCGAGGTGACGAGAAAGACGAGATGTTGATAATGTTTGATGTAAATTTTGACACAGATGATGAGCGTGTTGCGTCACCGATAAGTCAGATTGACCTGCTGCTGTCATTGAAATATGCCGCTCTTACCTCAGAAGTCAGAGGTCGGAGTTGGAAACAAGATGGCTGCATCTACGAAAGTTATTTTAGCTCTTGCCTTGTCCAAATATGAGGTAAGTGCCAAAATAACTTTCGTAGATGCAGCCATCTTGTTTCCAACTCCGATTTTGCTTTTTCCAACTTGGTAACTGAAAAGCCAAAAACTCTGGTGTGACATCATTTTCAGCTCCGACCTCTGACTTCCGAGGTAGCTCGAACGCACCATTAGACACCAATCTGAAGCTCTGATTGGATGTTCACAGGTTAACCCCAGAAGACACAACCAAGAGTTCGACTGTCAGAAAAGTTCCCTCCTCTGCTAAGTCCCTGTACCGCATCTTTACCGGCTTCAGGCCCTGGTCGGTCTGTGATCGCTGTGGAGTCCCGGGAGAGCAGGTCCGTGCGGGACTCTGCTTCGTCGAGTCCAAATTCCTGCATGTGCGCTTCAGACGGGCCAATCAGAACGTCACCTCGTGCGGCTCAGGAGCGGTGCCGAAGGCTTTTGAGAGTGTGAGGAAATCCAGGATTGGAGCGAAGCTGGAGGTGAAAGGCTGTGAAGTGACATGTCCAGAAGAAGGTCCCTCGTCATCCAAAATCCAGACCCTGATGTCGTTTCTTGGGTTTGAGTGAGTCACTTTCACTGTTTCATCAGTTTTTAACGGCGTTAAAGCCTCTAAATCTAATCTGATGAGTCTCACCCTGTACTTTAGTTCAGGTTCCAAGTCAGCCCGAGTCCCGGTGTTCTACCTGAGCCACCCTGCAGGTCGTCTCCTCATTATGGGCTGTCCTGGGGCTCGACCCAACATGGCGGTCGCCTGGGATCAGGGATCTACACCCATCTACCGCTCTCCACCTTCAGGGCGTCATAATGGCGGATCTAGACTGGAGATAGACACAGGACACCACCTGGTGTTCAAACCTGCAAAAACCCAGGACTCAGGTACCGCAGTCTCCGAACCGAGGGATTCTGGGCCAGGACTTTTTCATCTTCATTCTCAAAGTCTGTCTGTTATTTCTTTGTCAGGTGTTTACTTCTGCTGGCTGCAGGGCCGAACCGCCGCAGAGATTCGTCTTCTGGTTTACGCCCATTTGGGGCGGAGACAATCAGTGACCTCACACCCGGATTTTCCTCTAGCTGTCTGGTTCGTGCTCAGGTCGTACGCTGCCATGACCGGTGTGTTCTTACTGATTCTGGTCTGCAGAGCTCTCCTAAAGGAATACAGAGATGAGACGACAAACTCCGGGGACACTTCGGAGACAAATACCGATTAAAGTCTTTTAACCCTCAGAACGCCCAGCTATATGTTGCTATTTTTGGTCTGCCTGTTTTTTTTGTTGTTTTTTCTTTAAATCTATGTAGTAACTTTATCTTTTTAAGCACAGCAAATACATACACATCTATTTTTTTACTCAGGACACCTACAGCTGTCATCAAACACCTATTTTTGTGGCTGGATTGTAAACCTCGCTAGATCACCTACAATACTATGACATTTCTTAACATACTTTACTATAACTTTTTTTAATACTATAATATGACATTTTTTATTATACTATACTATATCGCTTTTATAATCATACACTATGACATTTTTTTTAAATTTGCTAATATTTATTCATACTATATTGTGACATTTCTATCATACTATACTATGACATTGCTATCATACAAAAAATTTTCATCACAGTATACTTTGACATTTTTTTTCATACTGTACTATACATTTTTTCATAATGTTTTTTTTTTAATTTGTATTTTACTATAATGTCTTTTTTACCATACAGTACAATGACATTTTTTTACTTTTCTTTCATACTTAAGATTTTTTTTCATTTCAAAAATATGAAATTTTTAACAGTCTGTACAATGACAATTTTTTCATTTAATTGAAAAATAATTCAAAAATTCAAAATTTTCAATATACTACACTGACATTTTTTCTCAATAAAAAAAAAAATATTTTTTTCATCCTAAAATATGAAATTTTTGACATACTAATCTATGACATTTTCATCACATCAAACTATGCCTTTTTTGTCATTCTAAAATATAAATTATTTTTATACTAAAATATGACATTTTTGACATACTGTACTTTGACATTTTTATCATACTATACTACTTTTATTAAGACATGACGGTGAAAACGTAATGAAAAAATTTTAAAAAACATGTTTTTTTTGCTTTTTTTCCCCCCTTTTCTTTTTTTATTTTATAGAATAAACTAATCTTATTTACTAACCAGATAGTAAGGACAGCCCCGTTTACATGAATATCCGAATAACCGCGCACATCCCTACCCCGATCCAGTGGAGTTCTAAGTGTTAAGCAAGTCCTTCAAATTGACTCCAGACTTATTGTCGACGAAGTCCTAAACAAGAGATTAAGGACCTAACAGCCTATTTCTGCCAGGATGGGCTTCGACAGTGAAATCGTCAGAGTTTCGCAGAGGTAGAAAGGCTGTATGATTGAAAAAAAACGTCCCTCTCAGAGTGTGACAGCAGAGAGGCCTCCTGCAGGCTTCAGATGCGCTCGTTTCATTAGATCTGTGCGAGCGCTGATGGTGTTTTGGTCCCGCTGTTTGTTGGTGGGAAAAGACCTGAGAATCCCCACCTGATGCATCCTCTGACGAGGAGCGTGAAGAGCTCTCAGGTGTAAGAGCTGAAAGAGAGAGAGAGAGTGGGAGGAAGCCACAAAGGACACACAGAGAAAGAGTCTCAGGGGAAATAGAGAAATATGACACTTGGACAGAAAGAACATGAAATGAAATGCAGGAAATCTGGAGTGGGTGTTTCAGAAGAACACTTTCTTTCCTCCTAATGTGTTAAATTTCCCTCAGATGTCAAAAGCACGTGCAGAAGGTTTGTTTAGATTTGCACAGTGTTTATAAAAGTCTCCTGTCTGTCACAGAGATAAAATCAGGAGCAGAATCACACCTGGAGTTTTGGAGATCTTGCAGCTGTCAGAGTGTCTCTTGAAAACCTCAACGCTGTATGAAAAAGCACAGCCTGAGAGGAGACGTCTGAGTTCTCGATGTCTGGCAGACGGTGCATCAGTCGTGTCCTCATTAAGACGTCTCCTCAACCCTGAGAGGCAGGAGGTCAAACACGGGGACACTTGTTCTCCTGCAGCTGTGGCCTCCTCTTCAGTCTTTCTCATCCCCGCTCTCTCTGCCCTTCAACCTGTCCGCCTGTATCTGTCAGAGTCTGCAGCCCTGAATCGGCTTATTTTCTCCCTCCAGGAAGAGACAGATGGTCCACTGGTGGATCCAAATTCAACAGAAGGCTTTTGGATGTTTGGATGGTCCAGACTGTCACTCTTGTGGAGAGATAACAGGAGCTGGAGTTGAGTGAAGAGGAAGTAAACGTAACCCTGGGTGATGCAAAGTTGGCCTAAAGCTGCGTTCCTGTTACCTCAGAAGTCGGATATCAGAGCCGGGAATGACGCTACAGCCGACAGCGCTCCAGTAAACAAGTCGGAAAACAAAGATGGACGCCTCCTGTTAGCTGTCGTTAGCCGTTGTCAGCTGTCGTCAGCAGTTGTCAGTTGTTTTTAGCAGTTGTCAGTTGTTGTTAGCAGTTGTCAGTTGTTAGGAGTTGTCAGCTGTCATTAGCCGTTGTTAGCTGTCGTTAACAACATAATGTTTTTAGCCGTTGTTAGCGGATGTCAGTTGTTGTTAGCTGTTGTTAGCCCTTGTTAGCAGTTGTCAGTTGTTAGGAGTTGTCAGCTGTCATTAGCCGTTGTTAGCTGTCGTTAACAACATAATGTTTTTAGCCGTTGTTAGCGGATGTCAGTTGTTGTTAGCTGTTGTTAGCCCTTGTTAGCAGTTGTCAGTTGTTGTTAGCGGTTGTCAGCTGTAGTTAGCCAATGCCAGCTGTTGTATTTAGCGGTTGTCAGTTGATGTTAGCCGTTGTTAGCTGTTGTCAGCAGTTGTCAGTTGTTAGGAGTTGTCAGCTGTCATTAGCCGTTGTTAGCAGTTGTTAACAACAGTTTTTGTTAGCCGTAGTTAGCCTTTGTCAGTTGTTGTTAGCCCTTGTTAGCAGTTGTTGTTAGCGGTTGTCAGCTGTCGTGAGCTGTTGCCAGCTGTTGTATGTAGCGGTTGTCCATTGTTGTTAGCCGTTGTCAACTATTGTTAGCCGTAGTTAGCCTTTGTTAGCCTCTGTCAGTTGTTGTTAGCCCTTGTTAGCGGTTGTCGGTTGTTGTTAGCCGTTGTCAACTATTGTTAGCCGTAGTTAGCCTTTGTCACTTGTTGTTAGCCCTTGTTAGCAGTTGTTGTTAGCGGTTGTCAGCTGTCGTGAGCTGTTGCCAGTTGTTGTATGTAGCGGTTGTCCATTGTTGTTAGCCGTTGTCAACTATTGTTAGCCGTAGTTAGCCTTTGTTAGCCTCTGTCAGTTGTTGTTAGCCCTTGTTAGCGGTTGTCGGTTGTTGTTAGCCGTTGTCAACTATTGTTAGCCGTTGTTAGTGGCTGTCAGTTGTCATTAGCCATTGTTAGCAGTTGATAGTTGTTGTTGTTAGCCGTGTTAACAATTGTCAGCTGTTGTTAGTTATTCTTAGTTGTTGTTACTGGTATAACTCACAGTATTTTCCTCTTACAAACACCACAGCACCGTGTTCACAGTTAGACTTAAGGCAGTACGACATAAACTACTTATTTAATTTCACAAAAACAAACAGAAGAGTTAATAAATAAAACATTACAGGAGCTTTTATTGTTACTCTTTACTGTTACTCTTTTCCAAGTCGCAAATCCAACGTCAGGGGGGCGTTCAGATGAATTTCCGACTCAGAGCTTGGAAATTCCAGACTCCCAAGTAAAACTGGAATGCAGCAATAAGACCTGCTAAATCCTGGTCTGAGTTGCGCACTTGTACTTACACTAACAGTAAAACATTATAATAAAGTGATTTTTTGCGCAGACTCAGGAATTGTTTCTCCTCCGCAGCTCTCAGCATGGACGCCAGAAAACAAGGACACCCTCAGAGCTCCCTAACCACCAAAATCCTCAGACTGGGACCATCATGAGGACACCTCTCCACACTGACACTAACAGGTCGTTCTTAGACGGCTTACAACCACCTACGCAGACATTACTAAAGGCTGTTTCCTTTATGCACACGGTACAGAGAGAGAGAGAGAGAGAGAGCGTCCCTTTCTTTATAAAACTCTTCATAAAACCTTGAAGGATTTCTCTTTCACAGGACACAATCAACCGTCAGCGCGCCGCTGAAAGAAAGACACGCGATTCATGACCTTCATCTACACGTTATGATGAGGTACAGCCGTCTTCTCCTCGATCAATGTCTCACTCCTGTCTGCAGAACTGAACAGATACGTCTCTGTGAACTTCAGATCCTGGAAAGCAAGAAAATATCGAGGAGGTTTCACCCGTTTTATGAATACAGTCGATTTCTGACCGACCTGAGTTTGTAAAGTGTCCGGAAGTGTCTCGGCTCTTTCTCCGGCGGGGTTTTTTGTTTTACCGAAACAGGAGAACGTGTAATTTTTGCAGCTTTATTTAGGCTGTTCTGTTTGACCTGAACAGCCTACAAACAAGAACAACTCATGCAGCCACAATCTAAAGAGAAAACCCCTCAGAAATAAACCAAACAGTGACCTGATATTACTTTTTATAAGTCAGAAGAATCTCCAGAGGAGTTTAAACACAACATTAGCAGAAAATGAAAAGGAAGTAATGAAGGATAATTGCTGATTGCTCATAATACGGCACATAACGTCCTCGTGTCCTTGAGCTAAAAGAAAACACAGCTCGCACTTTTGCATATTTTTGACGAGGGAATGAAATGACGCCCTCTCTCTCTCTCTCTCTCTCACTCTGATCCCCTCGTCCTTGTTTGCCATTTTTAGACTCCTTTTGCGTCAGATCACGCTGATTGCACCTGGCAGATCGAGTCTGGACAAGGTGAAAGTGAGAGAGGGGGAAACTTTGGCCACACACGGCAGCCATTAATCAAGTCGTTCGTGCGTCCAGGCCAGAGGCTCGGCGTGCTGGATCTGTGCTGAAACCTCGCTGAACAGGGACTCTAGTTTACTAAACTCTGTGCAGCGACGTCTCTTTAGCCCGCCGTCTAATGAGCTCTCTGCAGAGACACTGGCGCTCCTAAAGCGTCTAATCCTGCTGAAATAAGAGTGAGTCCTTCATTTTTAAGTGACCTTTAAGCTTCTCTGAGGAGCTTTTCATTAAAATCACAGCGGCGGCCTCACCCTTCCTCTTTTATTAATCCTCATTCGATTGTCAACACCTTTCATTTCCTCTCTGTCACTCACTTTCCTCCCTCATTTAACCTCTTCTAAATTTATATTTCCCGTCCTCCTATCTTTGCTTTATTGAACCTTATCTCGCCGATATTCTCCTCACCTCTCACCCGTCAGATTCAAATCTCGTCGGAGTGATTTATCTGCAGTTTTCTTGTCTCTCCATCACTGCTTTACCTTCATTCACATCCTGATTTGTCTTCGTCTCTCTTTGGTGATTGAGATTTATTCAGGTGAACTCGGGTAAACAAACCTTTTCTTTCTGTCATCGGAGTTAATGCTCCGTCTCCTCTTGGCTTTCCTGCTGAGCCGAGTCAGAACAAAAATCAAACAGCTCAGCGGCAGAGTGTCAAGGAGATTAATGTCGACAAGAACAGACACAATTTTCAACACCTGGTGTCCAAAATGGGGTACTGCAGTCTGGACTCAAAGTATTGCACATTGCATTTGCTTTATTTGGTGGTTCAGAGAGCTCCGTCTGTTTTCAATGTGCGAAACTCTAAATCCAAGGCAGGCAGAGCAGCAGCAAAGACCCAGACCAGAACTGACATCAGTGACAAACACATCCCACACTTGGAAGATCCGGCTTTGCAGGAGCTAACCCGGGATTTCCACCGCATCCGGAACAGCTCAGATCTGGCGGTGATTTTTGCCGTACGCCAATTCCTGCGATCTGTGATGGAGACGCTTAGCCGATCTGTCGTGGTGAAGAAAAAGCTGAGCCGAACTTAAGACCCGATTAGGGGCTGACAGAAGATCTGGATCATGAAAAAGAACCAGAGAAGGAGAAAGAGGAGAAATACATGAACTACAGACAGCTAGATGAAGAGCGAACAACCTTTTTGAAGATTTGGACTCAATCAACAACCAGAAGATATGAATCCTGCCCTGCATCTGTCCTGAAACTTGTCTATGTCCTGGTAACTCTTACAGTTATCCCGATTTCGGGTAAAAGGGGGCGCCGGTTGGCAGGGGATGGGACTAATAAAGGAGTATCTTATCTTATCTTGAGACCTCTGTGTGTGTCTCATATCTTGGATGCCTTGAAACAGTCGAAAAACGTAATAGCAGGCCTGATGATTGGAGGAGGACACGCTGAAGCTTTGATTTAATTCAGCATAAATCTTAAAAAATGCATATTTCACTTGTTTCGTGCTCCACTGTCTGATTTTTTATCGAGTGTACTCCTGTCCTGGTTCTTTGCTCCTGCAGCACATAAATCTGTCCGTTTATCTCTTCATTTTTCTGCCGGTCACTGTATTTTCTCTCCTGACACTGAATTCAATAATATTTCATCCATTTTCTCTCTCTCTCTCTCTCTCTCTCTCCTCTGAGGTGTCACTTTTTTTTATCCATCTCTGTTTGATATCGTCTCGTCCTCTCTCTCCATTTCCTCCACATCCCCCTCGTCGTTTTTCTCGCCTCACTGTTCGTTCATCCTTCTTGTCTGACACAAAGTCCACTTTATGAAAAACGATCCATCAAACACGTCCGTCCTCTCCCGGCTCTGTTGTTAGTTCACTCACCTGTGGGCGAGGATCCTCAGCGTGGTTTTCTCCTGATGACTAAGTGAACACAGAGCGCTCATCGATGAGGCGCCTGGTATTAAAAGGAATTAGCGCGCGCCCTCAGAGGCTCCTCTTTTCATTTGTTGGGTTTATTTTGTTGTTTTATGTCATAAAATCCAAACAAACGCCTCTGAAATTTGACTTTTTGTTTCTTTGTTTGTTTGTTTTCTTCTCTCCCATAAAATGCCTGAGGTTCAACTTCCTCTGACAAAAGCAGCGGGGGAGAAACTCGAGCCATCCCTTGTTTCTAGGTAACCATCGACAAAGTCGGTCATGAGACCACACATCTGCGAGAGTCATCTGTTCTCCTCGCCCTGTGACGGAGGGAGGCGTGCGGGATAAGTGGTGAGCACATCGAGGTCTAGATCGGGTCTCCTCGCACCAAAGCATAGAGACGAAGAGTATAGAGTGGATACGAGACGTCATCTATGATGTCAGAGCTAAACAGGTGAGTGACAGGTGAGCCGTGTCACACCTGATTGGCTGTTTAATCGCAGCAGTCATTGTTGCTGCATTTCAGTTACCTTAGAAGTCGGATATCGGAGCTGGGAATGACGTTACACCCGAGTTGATGGTGATCCAGTTAACAAGTCGGAAAACCAAGGTGAACACCTTCAGTTACCCGTTGTTAGCTGTTGTTTGCATTTGTCAGCGTTGTCGTCAAGTCGGTTTGGCGAGGATTGTCCAACTTTCCGAGTCAGAAATCCGACTTCAGGGTGGCGTTCCAGATGAGTTTCCGACTTGGATCGACTTTAAGTACAACTGGAACGCGGCATATGACCACCTGTAGCTAAAGTAGGTCAACATGATTGCTGTGATTGTGGTTCAGGTTTGGAAATGTATCTTGACAAGTAAAACTGGTATTCTAAGTTTTAAACTCTGTTTATAAAACCTCAAAGTTAAAATCGTCTCAAAGCGACTCACCTTCACTAACCTACAACAGGAACTGAAATAAGCCGAACTCAAGGACGACCGAGATCACCGAACCGGGACACTGACCTAACTTTCTATTTGGGAACATGTCGGCTGTTTGTTTGTCCTTCAAACACCTGAGAAGTCAAGACACCTCTGTTACCATGGAAACCTGGAAACTGAAGCTCCACTGGTTCTGGTTTTCCAAAGGTCCTTGTTGATGCTTCAAGTTAAAGGGGTATTCTGACGTAAAGTTAAGTTCAGATCAAACCCACTGTAACACAGAGTTAGACACTAAACACAACTCACCTACTCTCTTCCAGCAGCCACTTGTTGGGCCAGTCCATCACAGACTACAGCGGGGTGCCGCAGCTCAAGGAAGAACATTTATGATAATTTCTTCATGGAAATACAATCAGACCGAGACGCTAAGACAGAAGAACTACCGCGTCTGTAAAATGATTAATATGGTGATTATTACTTCAAGGAAATGATAAAGAAATGATCAATACCTGTCTGCTGTGAATCTGTCATTCTGTGTTAACATGATCTGTGACAATGTTAAAAATAATAAAAAAGGAAATTGTCATATGTTCTGTAAATGTAGTTTTTCTCTGGTTTTGTTATTTAAGTGTGTTTCCTTTTTGACTCTGTTTCCCTCCTCTTCTCTCTGTTTTATTCTTTAGATCAGTTTTCAGTGTTTATTTCCTGTTTTATTTTGTAGGAGTTGATTCCTTCTGCTTCTCGTCTGGTTTTACCTCCTTAGTTTTCCCTCCTCTGACGAGTCTCACCTGTGTCTCGTCTGCCTCACCTGTGTCTCGTTTACCTGTGTGTGTGTATAGTCCCTGTCTTCCTCTTTGTCTTGGTCGGTTCGTTGTGAGTGTGAGAGGAAGTTTTAGTCGGACATTTTCTTTTTGCTTTTCCTTACTTCTACATTTTTGGGCCTTTTTTTCTTTAACCTCTGCACCATGACAGAAATCACACCCATGATTCCTGCACATCACACTTTGATATAAAGGGCTGTTTGGGTCTGTCGCCTGTTTCTAGACGGGGTGTTGAAATGAATGCATTTGTTTATCCAGTAGATTTCAGAATATGACTGATATTAATTTCAGACGCAACGTTAAACAGCCTTATTTATCTAGTAAAAACTAGACTTGCTGTCGTTCAGGACGGAAAAACCCGGTATCATTCAGACGTTGACTGAATCTACAGACTTTATCGATTTACATTAATACAAATTGCTTTTAATTGATTGAATCGATCAGGCTGACTGATCAATCTGTGTATTTCTGGTGTAGACTTTATTAACCTCAGTAAAAATTCAATTATGCTCCTCTGTAATGTTTCCCCAGTTTTCCTTTAGTGCTCATGATGGCGGATCGATAGGATTGTAGTGTTTATTATTTACCAGTCAGTCTTTATTAAAACCTGAAACTAAGGAACAGGCTCGCGGTGATCAGCTGATATCCTGAATCAAACGTTGTGTCTAAACATGTCGAGGTTTTACGTAGGTGGAAGAGTCATGGCGCTGTTTAACGTACACAACAACATGTATAATCAACAGTAACTGGATCAGGGGATGAAGGGTGTATCTGCGCGCTCAAACGTCTCCCTCTATTCAACGCTGGGAAGTAAATGAGCCAATTTAACTGGGTATCGATTTGAGAAATTGACTGAGACATTGTTGAACACAGGCTGGTCTGTTGAACTCACCCACCCACACACACACACCTTTCATTCCCGAGCCAATTATCCCCTCTGCTCTCCGTCAGACTAACAAATGAGAGCTGCTGGAAATAACAGCTCAATCTCCGCCGCCACCGCCGCCGCATAAGAAGAAGAAGAAGAAGTCGGGAAGGAACTGATGTAGTTTAGCATCTTTTATTACAAACCGCCGCGTTTATCCCGGACCGGAGACAATCGCCCGATCCATCACAGGAAATATATTTGTTCTCATTTTTTACACCCAGACCCGCAACCTGCTTATGTCAACATCTGTGGCCGGTTCGCCGTATAATTGGCGTCATTTTTCACGGAGCGAAGCGGCTGAAATGAGACCTCTTTCCCGGGGTAACCCTTAGAGACGATGAGGGAAAGAGGTGAAAGTAGATAAAGACGCCGCTTTGATGAGCCAATTTGGGTGATTCTGACATGTGAGGGGGAGGTCTCTGAGAGTCTCGTGGGTAAGACGCGGAACAAACTGAAGCAATTACAGTTACCAACCTGGACCGGGGAGCAACTCCCTGATCAGACACAGGAGTGTGTCGTATTATTTCAAGAATCTCCCCCATCTCGACATCTCTGACGTAGATGTAGTAAAAATAGATGAAAAACAGGGTCTGGGATTTACCTGCAGTAGACAGGTGTGTGTGTATAAACAGGTCGGTGGATTAGAGGAAATCAAATCTGCAAACTTCTCACGCCCTCTGTCATGTCTTTGGTTTAAAGTTAATTTATTCACCCTTCCTCATGTCCTTCCTGTTTTATTTTGAAACTTACCTGTGTCTCCTCACTTCCTGCCCTTGTGTGCCCCACTCCCTGATCGCCCTAATGTGGTCCACCTGTGTCTCGTTATCTCCGCTCCCTCCGTGTATTTAAGCTCCGCCCCCTCTCCCCTCTGTGCCAGTTTGTCTCGTTCTTTAGTGTCAAACGGTTTCAGCATTTCCCTCCTGTTTTTGACTCATGCTTCCATCAAACGATCTTCACAGTTACAGACTAAAAACTGTTCTTCTGTTCTTCCTTGAGCTGCGACACCCCGCTGTAGTCCGTAATGGACTGGCCTGAGGTCTCGCTACAAACAAGTGTCTGCTGGAAGAGAGTAGGTGAGTTGTGTTTAGTCTCTTTGCTAAAGAAATGAGTCAAAGTTAAAAAGATGTTTGGTGTCTAGTACTATGTCTGTGACCCTATATGTCCTGTTGATGAAGTTAGGTGCTGTTCTGAGCATTATTTGTGGCTATAGAGTGGCGTTTTGGTTGGGGGCGTGTCTCTCTGTATTTCTATCCTGCGGTCGTTACTAAAGTTGGTATAACTAGAGAAGCAAGCGGTCGGCAACATTCATCTCCGGAGGGGGGGTCTAACTCGGTGTTACGGTGTGTTTGACCCTAAATTAATTTTATGCCAGAATGTCCCTTTTGCCAAGTATAGCATTAGCGAGTTCTGAGTCGTCGTATGCGAACACTCCGCTGATTAATGAGCAAACCACCACAGATAGATTCCCCACAATTGGGAAACACTGAACTGTCAACAAATGCTAAAGGAATCTTGTTGTCGTCTTGTAAATAGTAACCCTGCAAGATTAACCGTCTTTGTTAATCCTCCGTCTAAGACTAAAAACACTAACCATCAATTTTCATCACATCTGAATCAACTCCGATTTTCACCGTCCTCCAACTCCTACCGGATCCGTTGGTGAACGTAAAGAAGTCGATGGAAATTGACACGTTAACTTGAATGGTTACGATCAGATAAGGCCTTTCGTATCCGTTCCAGATGCGGTGGATATTGGGGGTAAACACTTGTCTTTAGATGTGAGCTGATATTTTCCTCGACTCTGTATGTTTTTCTAATCTGCAGACTGTTCATGTCGTATGTAGATCCATCCGTAAAGCTCATTTTTGTTCTTATTTCTCTTGTGAAAAACTATTTCATTTCAGGAGCTTCAGAGCGAACAAACGATTGACTTTCTAAAACGACCTTGAAATTGGTTTTGAAGGAGGTGCTGCTGCTGATTCTTCAAAGTGAATAAACGTGTTTTTTAAAGTCAATACAGAGTTCTTATCGCAGGAATACACAAATTTAAAAAATAAAGCCTGGATTGATTTTAACGACCAAATACTGTTTATGTGCTTCAAAGATACAAGAAAATAAGATGAAAAATGAAGCAGAAGTTGGCGCCGTCTCTGGTTTGACCTGCTCTGGATCGGTTCAGTCCAGTTTTGGACGTTTTCACCTTTTCAGTTCTGGTTCGCCGTGTCGTCTTCCTGTGTGAGCGACAGAGAAAACAACAACAAACGTTTCATCAAAACGCTGCGTTAAAAACAAAGAGAGGACAGTTGAGCTCCCCTCTCTCTCTCTCTCTCCATAAACCCTCTACCTCTCTCGACCTCCTCATTTGCTCTCTCGCCGTGTCTCTGTTCATCCCTCCCTCTCTCTCTCCGTCCGTCTCGTCTCTCCGTGTAAGTCTCTTTGCCCTTATCTTCTCGTGTCAGTCACGGCGCTTCGTGTCGCCCCGTTTAGTATTCCTCTCAGTCACACCTGTCTGCTTACACTCCATCACACACACACGCACATGCACACACACACACACACACACACAGACTGCAAGTACAAGTAGTAATGACTTATCTTTGACAACGTAGGCGACAAATTAGACCAACAAATAGATAGAGGTGTGCGGCCGCATACCGACAAACTCGCCCACCGCCATAACCGCACACACGGCGGACAGTTGCGCGTCCTTGTTTCATGGTTTAATGTGCGGGAGGACACGTGTTGTGGTCGTGTCGGTGAGATGTCACGGTTGCTTTATATTAGGGGGAAGAGTTTGGCGGTCGCACCCTCAGGGGCGTCTTTGTACCAAGGACAGCCTGTCGGACGGTGCCACCCCCTTCCAGTCAGAGACCTCTCAGACGTCCAATCAGTGTTGACGGCGAGCGTTGTCACTTTAAGTAATAATGTGTGATTTATAAACGGAGGAGGGAAACTGCTGAATAGACGTCCGTGTACTTAGACGTGTTGAAGAAAAGCTGAAGTGGTCTTTAAAGATTTCGCCACAGCGTCAACAGGCGTCCTAACCAGATGCCCGAGCCACCTCAGCTGACTCGTCTCGACGTGGAGGAGCAGCGGTTCGGAGAGACCACATCGAGCTAAGTGCACTTCTGCACCGTCGAACGGCGCATTTGAAGCGTGCATGACGTCACGACGGCGCGAACGGTGTCCCGTTTGGCACGAGATGCTAAGAAATGCTAAGCACGATTAGCATTTTTTCAAGTCGTGAATTTACGAGAATAAAGTTTTAAAGTTTCCTGTTATTTAAGAGGAGACTTGTTAAAATTAGGGCCATGAAGCATTTTTTTTGCATCATACCTTCTCTTCAACCTTGAGCTGTGTCACCCCTTCAGTCCTTCCTACCGTCCTTCCTTCCTTCCTTCCTTCCTACCTATCTTTCCTCTGTTGATGAGCCTCACAGCTGCTGTTTGACCAGGACTGGGTTCCTCGGTGTGTCAGCATCTATTCATCCCTCAGTTTGTCGTCGTCCTGTAACCCGGTGTGCCGCCTCTCTCACACTCAGACAGGGTTTCCTCTGATTCACAGTCTAATGACCAGATAATGATCGGACATGACCAACCCTCCACATGAGCCGTTAATGTCTACAACCCCATAAAGACCTGCACAGACCTGCACAGACCTGGGTACGGTGTTTAACATGCAGGACGGACGACGGCTCTGCTGCTGCTCGTATTTAAATATCGATCCATGTGTGACGAGGAGAAGCAGAGACCGGGTCCTAAAGGTGATGAGAGGAAAAGAAGAGGGAAAGAGTAAAAAGAGGGAGAGATAAGAGAGAGAGAGAGAGAGATAGATGGTGTGTCCTTTGACATGGGGATGATTGGACGGATAACACCGCTTCAACTATCACATCTATCTTCCACCTCTTCTCTTCTTCAGATCTGTCCGACTAAAACCAAGATTTCCTCTGTTTCTGAAATCATCACCCAAGTGCTGTCAGGGGTATTTCACAGCCCAGACTCTTTTATTATAACCTCTTAAACTGGTGCAAACATAAACCCAGGATTAGGTAATCCCGTCCAGTTTATGTGCCGGATCAGCCGGATCCAAACTCGAGCTTTTCTATCTGGACGACGTCTACACCATGAATAAATAAAACAAGAGGTGAAGAAGTCGATCTCTGGAGTCCACCTGAACTCTGCTGGACCCAAAGTTCTCTCAGATATAAATCCATCATCCTCATCTCTCCCCTCTCCTCACCTCCTCTCTCTCTCTCTCTCTCTCTCTCTCTCTCTCCTCCTTTCGCAGTAATACGCCACATTAAACATTAATGCTCTATCTTTATGTAACAGAAGCTCCTTTAATGCAGCTGGATGATGATGCCTCTATTCGCCATGTTGAACCGCTCCATTAAAGGGATATTCTGGCATAAAATTAAGTTAGATAGCAACACAGAGAACCATGAACGACCGCGATGATGAAATCGTGCGGTACTGTAATGATCTGTAATAATCGTTGCGGCCACCCAAAGCACTGTTGGAGCGTGTCCACAATGCATCCCATTCTACGGCATAACACCCGACCAAGAACAGTCGGAGTCTGAGAATGACGATGAGTATGGACGTTTTACAGCTTCACAAAACAGACGGAGCAGGTCAACCTGACACCAATCTGCAGGTTACGCCGTAAGGAAGTCGCACCGCCGTTGTCTAACACTACAAACCTACGTTCCCACCTCCGTGAACACCATCCAGCATCGTTCGCCACAAATCAAGATAAAAACAACATGACCGCAACAAGTTTGGTCGACTCTCCTGCTTATTATTGACAACGTTAGTGACGTTTCTGCTAACTTTAGCTCCAAAAAGCTAATGCTCCCAACGCCGCGTTAGCTGCCTCTTGCTCATATTGTTTGTGCGTGCCATGCTGCGCGCGGAGAAGTGATTTCGCAGTTTTTTGCCATTTTTTGTAACATTAAAAACAATGCACTAATATTGTGATATTTTGGGCCACTAATATTGTGATATCAAATTTTTCATATCGGCACATGCCTTCAGTACATGTAGGGTCCAAGACGTAGTACGAGACACCAAACATCTTTTTAACTTTGACAGGCTCATAATTCTCCCACCACTCTGTAAGGTGGTTTTTATTCTGTTAAAATTCACTTAATATGATTACTGTTGAATCGTGTTGACTGTCGTTATAAAGAATTTACTCTGAATCAGATTTTTAGACTCTTTGACAAACTGGGTCAGGTGTGGCTGGTGTCGGGTGAACAGCAGGGGTTCGAGGGCATCAAATGGTAAGCTAACAATTATTTAAATTCAGCTCTCGTCCTGAGTCTGATCTGGAGGCGCTGATTCGATTTCCACACTCAAACATGTTACACGGGGGTTTTGTCTAGACCTCCATGAAGTGCTTCTGTTTTTGGCAGACGACTGCGCCGTCTCGCAAAATCCGGTTTGCTTCAGTAATTAACTTTCCCTCTCTCCTTCTTCTCTCTCTCTCTCTCTCTCTACCTCTTTTTTTTCTTTCTCTGACCCTCTTGCACCTCCTCTTCTCCGTCTCTCCCTCTCTCTGCCTCCTGAGACAGAAACTGGAGGAGATAATGGAGGATGGAGGATCACAGAAGACCCGCATCAATTTAGAGCTTAGACCCGGTGATGATGAACATGCTCACATACTCTGGGTGATTCGGTCTGAGTGAGTCACTTCTCTCTCTCTCCAGTGAAATGACAGACAGCAGACATGCACATTAAGAAAACAGGTAATCAGTGTTCATTCAACCTGCATATCTTCAAACTTTATTTTGTGAACAAATGAGATACCAGAGCACTTGAACATTTCTTCAGTACAACTCTAAAACTAATCAGAAAACTTCCCGAACAATAGTCACATATTTCTGCGGTTATGAAATTCACAGACAGGAAAAGAAGAAGAAGAAGAAGAAGCCCTTCACCTGATAACACTTCCTAGACTGAGTGGTCCTCAAGCTGAAAGCAGAGATGTTACTTCAGTGATGGCTTCTCTTCATTTGGAGAAAAATACCTGCAGGTTAATATTAGACTGAAAACTGTCAGTGCAGAATGAAAGTGGTACGAATGGACTAATGGTGTGAATATGGATCACTGTCAGCCGAGCTTTTCTTCTGCAGGGTCCACTTTAGTCAGAGAGGACATGATAAAACCCACTACTGAATGAATCTGGTCATTTTTACTGGATCCAGACTAAGTCTAAGCGCAAGACTAAGAATTTTCACCGCATTCGGAATGACTCTGATTTTCGCTGTCTGACAATTCCTACCGGATCTGTTTGTGGAGCGAATTTCGTGGCAGATTACGGACAGCAGGAATCGCAAGAACCTGCAAGAACCCGCGGATTCATGAGCAATCGCACAATAACAAGTTGTCTCTTAGCCACAAAAGCTAACCATATAAGCAGTAGATTGTGTCCTTCCAGAGGAGGAAATCTACTTCTAGACTTCTAGAATCAGCATGGTGTGAAATACGATCTGGTCAGATCAGTGTTTTATTTTGAAAAGAAGCCGGATGTTTTATTTTGTGTCTGTGCCCGACTTCCTTTCCAGCACGGGTTAATCTGTGCTGAATTTATCCGCCATGCTCCTGCATCTGGAAAAAATTAGAACTCTTGTGATCAGCTGAGGAGTCCGGCGATCCGCAGAGGAACGGAAACGGTTGAGAAGTCGGTGTAAATTGACATGTTAACTTGAGTAGATACGATCGGCGGATACAGCCTTTTTGTAGCCGTTCCAGATGTGGTGAAAATTGGGGATTGGTGTCTGCACACACCAAGCACAAGTGAAATCATTCGCGCGAATGAATTACATGTTGAGTTAATGCAATGATGCGATTAGCCGCTCCTACTATTCTGGCGGGAGCTGAAAATATCTCAACTTGAGCAGATATTCGTGTCGCGATAACCAATCAGCACGAAGGTTGCTGATTGACGTATGAAAACAGGTGGTTGTTCACTGGTATCTAAAATGGAGGACAAACTGTAAGATACTGTCTAGATTTGCGTGAATTAAGCGAGTAAGGATTGTAATCGCGCTTGGTGTGAGCGCCCCATTAGGATGGCAATCATTAAATAGCCAATAGTCTTAAAATCAATCACGTTTGAGCTTATCCAGTCTGCTATCGGTTCTTGGTCATGTCATGTTAAATTAAATCAGGAGGAATTCTGGTGGTCAGCTGTGAGGAAGTCCAAAGTGTTGCTACGGGATACCGAAGCTGAAGAAAAGAAACTCATTATTGTGCATCAAATCAACTCGAAGTTCCTGCAGCAGCGTCTAAAGCTCGAAACAACTCCGGATGCTGCTGCAGGGTAAGAACATCCAGACTTTAGAGCGAGTCTCGTCAGTTTAAAATCATAATCCGGTGTTAAAATCAGCAGGATGAAAGCTAATGAGCTAACTAATCAAAGTGACGGGTGATTACAGTGGGAGGGTCGCTCCTGTAATTACGTATTTGACCGCGGACAACACAACTGTAAAGGTCTTTACACACAATCAAGAACTTTTTAGAGCTTTAAAAATGAGAAGTTATGGACAACAGTGGACTTTTCTGAGTATACACATCACCGGTTCATGAACAATTGTTCATGTGTGTGAGTGTGTGTGTGTGTGTGTGTGTGTGTGTCCCACCAGCTGCTGTTCAGGATCAATGTCTCTGTGGTATTTGGTGATCGTCTTTCATGTGCAGATCAATCTGGGAGGGAGCTGGATGATTCTGCAGCTCGTTTTTCACCGTGTGAAAGGACAACGTAATCACCCTCACAGCTGGATGATTATTTTCCTGACATGAATTTTTGCACTGAATAGAAAAATGAAACCCATCAGGCTCTGCAGGACGGTTTCTCTGAGGACTGAAGATGTTTTGTTTTTTTTTTGGTCGGGTTACAGACCAAAAAAATGCAAACGAAGAACTGAGGCCTGGGTGTGCATGTCTTCTTTGGACGTCTACCCCTCATTTCGAGCGCCATTAGCTCTCAAACATTCACGACCGTGTTAAGTGGTCTTTTCTGACACGCTCTGTCTTGGAAAGAATAAGCATATCTGTAACTGCCTTTGTGTTTAAAGATGGGTCATGTTCCTCTCTCAGTCCTCAGACTCAGATCAGACAGAAAAAAATCTGTCTTCTTCAGAATCAGAGTCCAAGAGTTCTTCGATCTTTATTCTGCGAGATCAGACGCTGTCTTATGTGAACATACATCTATAATTCATGGGTCAGGGTGTTTTTACTGCGCCTGTTTGGACCGTATATGTTACGTCCCGCATACTGCTGTCTGACTGTGTGTAAATACCATATATTTAAATAAAGAGGGCCGCCTGGGGATAACCGCATGTGAGCATAAATATTTAGAGTGACCTACAGATGAACTGAACTACATTTCCTACAGTTACATTCCACATTCTTAAAGGAAGTAATAATTCAGGAGGACATACATGATCGAGGCTCACTGAACCTGCAACACGGATGAGATTGACATGAACATACAACATGTGCATTAAAATTCGACGTCTTTGTACTGTTTTTCTCGCAGTTTTACGGTCATTTGAGTATTTTAACCACAAATTGATCATCTGAGATCGTCAACAAATAAAGAGCTCTGAACAAGATTACAGTTCAGTGACTTTGGTGATTTGGAAGGACGACGGTAATCCCAGTTATTCCCCTTTTCCAGCACAATTTGCATTAAGGGCCTGTTTCCACTGGCTGCATTTTTGCGTCTACTGATCAGCATCCTGGCTGTAAAAAACCTTCAGAATCAGCTGTTCTTCAATGTGGCTCTACGAAGTGATGGCTCAGTTTTTGGAACAGCCCTGTGAGTGTTTCATTTTCACCTGTTACTCTGTTACTCTAATTTCCTATTTTGGTAATTTAAAACTGACTTAACTGACGTCTGCAGCCTAGCAACAGTCGGTGACAGTAAGCGGCCCTCTGAAATTGAGGGCACGGGTTCTCCCCGGGATGACTGCTGTTAGTGTACAAGTGTCCCAGCAAGTTTTGAGGGCGCAGTGCTGTCCCAAATCGCATACTGCCGCGCGGTGCACTTACCGTACAGACGAACAAAAACTAAAGAAATAATGACATGATCTGCCTCGCCAGCCAACAATAGCTGTCGTATTTTGCGAGTGTTTACGATGGTTCTAATGCTAACCTCCTCTACAGCGAAGGCTTTGCTGACATCGGTGCAGCAGACTGAGGCGACCGAGAAAGCACTGCGGTGCGCTGCAGCAGTGAAAATACACCGATAAGTTAAAATGTCGGTGTCGGTGCTTCTGGTCGTATAATTCATGAGCATGCTCTGCTGGCCCGCTGGTTATCTTTTATTTGCCACAGGTAACGCTTCAGAACCTGGTGGCTACCAGCTAACTACCATTAGCGTTTGCAATACTGTACGCGGTAAAAGACAAAAAACAGGTTACACCACAAATACACTCAAAATGAAAAACGCTGGCGGTGCTTGGTGGAGAGAACATCTATATTTACATCTATTCAAAGCTCCTAGGTCGACCATCACCGACCCACTGGCGCCGCAGCTGTCCGCAGCCATTCTTACCGATGACGAGTGCCGGCGAGCGTCCACAGTCGTACTTTTGCATACTCAATTTTTCGCATACTATCCATACTTTTTCCATTTTGAGTTGAGTATAGTCAAAGTTTGAAGTATGTAGTATGGAAGTATGCGATTTGGGACACACCTCAGGACTCCTTAAACATGTCTTACTTCTTCTTCTTCTTCTTCATACTTCTCTCCATGCTCTCCTCCTATGGTTGTTCGGCATCACCATCACATCCATCATCAGTGAGTATTTCTTATCTATAGTGTCTGATAGAAAGTCTGCATTCACTGTTGGCACATACTGCATCTTGGCTCTCTCTCTCACTCCGGTCTGTTCTCCAAAGACGGTGGGGTACTGGCTGATTGCATCATGAAGAAGTGCCACAGATATTGTATTTAACACAACAGGAGCGGGGAGCAACAGAAGCGCACAATCATAAAGGTAATGAGTAATTAGGAGCGCCGCGGGGAAGCTAACATGCAGAAATTGCCCTTTTTGTGTTTTCACTGCAACCCTTCGGGGAAGAAATACGGACGCATGTGACGTCGAATTAGTAAGTTAAGCGTGGGCGTGTGTTTGTTATGCAGACGCAGGAGGAGGGTTCGCTTCCTCCTGCAGTCGGCCTGTAACCTGATCAAATCTGGAGGTAAAAAGCAGATATTCTCACAGTCGAGTCAGCATGATCTCATCCAGATTCCTCTCATGAGTCATTTCCCACATGCATAATTACTCTCTGCGAGGATTTGTGTGAATATTCATTTCTGAATATCCACACTGGAGCGTTTAAGACTGTTTATCTGCCTGCACATCGAGATGATACCACAAACGGGCTCGTTTCAGGTGAACTAAAGCGGCGTTCGGAGACGTTATTTCACTCTGACACCCAGAATGAAAATGATTCAACTCCAAAAGCTGTTTCTAAAAATAGAACTCTGTGTCTGACGCTGAAAACGGAGCTTTGGAGTTTGAGTAAAGATGTTTTCTGTCTGCAGACTCTGTCATGCAGGCCTGTGCCTCACTCTGATGGAAACTGGCGTCACATGCAGAGCCGGCCCAAACCTCAATGGGGCCCTAAAAAAATAGATTTTTGTGCCCTCTATTTCTGAGAATAAAATTGATTGTTGATCACTCACACACCTTCACAAATCTCTTCGAATAGCATTCCATGGCATGCAAACATACCTTTATCTTCTTCCTCTTTCTTTTCTCTGCTCTTTTTTTTCTCTGTCTTTTTTTGCGACATTGTTTTGTCCCACAACTACCTTCTCTTTGGATGCTCGGTGCAAATTGCACAGAAAACGCACAGAATGGTAACGGAGATTTGACATATCGGCAGTAAGAATCATTTCTAGGCGCAGCCCGGGGGTAGAGGAGTGTCCAGTTCCGCAGGCAGAGGATCGTGTCGCTGCTTTTGTGGATGATGTGGTTCTTCTATCTTCGTCATGCAGCGACCTTCAGCTCTTGTTGGGGCGGTTTGGGATGCGAATCAGCACCTCCAAGTCCGAGGCCACGGTCCTCAGTCAGAGAAAGGTAGATTGCCTTCTCCAGGTCAGAGAGGAGGTCCTGCCTTAAGTGAAGGAGTTCAAGTATCTCGGGATCTTGTTCACGAGTGAGGGTAGGATGGAGCGGGAGATCAGCAGGCGGATCGGACCCGGATGAAGTGGATGAAAACGATGACGACAACCATACGCAAAAACGAACACGAAAGAATCACTGCTCACATGTCTCTCTACTGACGCTAATAGTTCCTTCCTGCCAAAATTTCGGCCAAATGTTGACGCCCCCTTTTCAGATTTTGTATGCCCTATTGGCCACAGGGCCCTTCGCAGGCGCTCAGTTCGCCTATGCTTTGGGCCGGCTCTGCTCACATGTGTGCTGCAGAAAACTACAGTAACTTGGAAGCACATGCTGACTTCATGTGTGATTCCTTGTGCCATTTTTTGCAAATGTAATAAAGTCTGTCCATGTTTTGACACATGCTGACCTTCTGTAAATCAGACTCTCAGTGACAGATTATAATGTAAATGTTATTATTGCTCTTAAGTGCTGAAAATCGTCTCTCTCATCACAGCTGTTCTTCCTATTTTAGATCTTCTATTGCTCATTTTTCTGTGATGGTTTATACTTTGTGTTTGCTGCACGACTTTCTGCCTTGTACGTATCCATAAACTTGCCTGATCTGTTTCCCTTTGAGACGACATGCGCTATGAAATGCAGAATTACCTTGACATAAAACTGAATGGGAAAATTAATAACCTGCTCTTAAAAATGACAAGTCCTCTCAGCTGCAGGTGGAGAAATCCAGCTTTACCTCTCCTGGTGGGACTGAGGGTAATAAAGCTGCACTACCTGGTGATGTGAAAGTGAATCAGGGTGCATTTGAGACAAAACAGCCCAGCCTCCGCTCACCTTCCCTCAACATTGACTTATAACACGGCACAGACTGAACTCCGGTTCTTCAGGGACAAATCAAATGTTTGGAGTGGAGTGAACAAATGCATCCAAATGCAACTGTTGGTCAATAACTGTCTGCAAAACCATGTTTATCTGAAAAAGCTGGATGTCTGTGCAGCTTGATATGCAGCTGCAGTGCCCTCCTGTGGCGACAGAGAGAACTGCAGTGGGCAGGTGAAGCACATTTCAGCAACTGCAGTTTGTTTTGTCTCATAGACCTTTAAAAGTGCCGTGTTGTCTGCACTTTGCGACATGTGCACAAGGCGTGGTTACCAGATAGCAAAGGAGGAATTGTACGGCGAGGTGTGAACCGGTATGATATCAGAGCGCAAAGGTTAGAGTGATAACGCTCTGAGGCTGAGACCAAAGCTAGTGTAAACAGCTTTCCAAGAGCTCCACTTCCTTGATAAAACAGATTCAATCCCTGATATTAAGAGTCAAGGGTGGAGTGGGATGTTAGACTTTAATACACCGATCAGAATGAAAGGGTTTCAGCACCTTCAGAGGTGAGATGTCGAGCATTAAGAACATCCAAACACTTTACTGTACAGTAGGTGATTGAAATTCAGGCTTCTGCAGATTTAAGAGACACATTTCAGCAAAAAGGAGGAATAAACTTGTTTTCTGGTCCTGATCTATGAGTTTGATGCAGATAAGAGCGTTAAAGAGGACTGCAGATCATAGTTCGGTGTAATGTTTAATGAGAATTCAGAAGGTGAAATCCAATCCTCTCTTCTCTGTTAAAGCTCTTCTTAATCAGTGAACACCTCACATCATGTTTTGGTTGATTACGCACCCACACCCTCCACTCCAACCTCCTCCTCTCGCTCTCTCTCCTTGGTGTATGGCGCCCCCTCCTGTTGCTGCTGGTAGCTTCTCATGATTTTATCAAACCACCACTTGTTCTAACTCAATAAATTGCACATTTAAATAAGAAAATGTTAAATCCACACTATTTATTATACCCAAAGAAAACCAGGGAGAAGTCGTCTGAAGTTTCTGTCTCCTTTACTTTGAGCTACACTCACAAATATTACACTTCACTGCAAAGTTGGACCTTTTCTGACTTATTGTCATTTAAAGAGGAGGAATTTTGGCATCATGGACAACATTAACATCTTATAAACACTAAAACTGCTTAATAATAATATTGGCAGCTGCTGCGGGAAATCACACACCGGCTTTTCACCTCAGATAAGGACGTACACTTGCCAGGAAAAGGAATCATGCTCATGTTATTTTCCTCCAGCTTCAATTTTAATCACCATTCCCTTCTTCTAAATGCATAAATATCTTACTAAACAGCATTATGAAGTTGTAACTGTGGCTGTAGGGAACGAAATGATGACTGGACTTTGAAGAACTGTCTTGGTTTTGAGGCCTAACACTTGAATTTCTGTTTATTTGAACCTTTCAGAAAGTTTGTGCTGAGTTTACTCCGACCAAACCACAGCACTAACAGATTATGATCAGTAAGAGGCCTCCTTTAGTTCTTTTAATAATGAAAGTAAAAAGTTATCAGTTTATATTTATCATTCTTTTAAGAGCAGCAACATACTTTTCAGAGATAGGGGGGCAAAAGACAACATGAACCTGATGACCTTTATTAAGTTTGGTGCAGAATCAGTTCATATGGCAATGAAAACCAAAGTTTGGTCACATTAAAATGATTATATGTTGGCACAAGTAGGCCGAGTGTATGTCTGTTTTTAAGATGTAAGAAAAGCGGTAAATAGAGAGTGAAATATATATGACATATGATGAGTTTAGTCAATGAAATACAGCTTTTAATGTTGTGACATTTACAAAAAACGTTTCATTATTCATCAAAATACAAACATGAAGGCACATCAGTGATACTTGGAGAATAAAGTGTTGAAGCTTTTTAGATTAACAAACAGAAGAGAATGTGAGGGTCTGATTCTAGGATAGTAAATAAGTCGAGTAAAGAAAACAGTTTTAGGGCTTTTTTGTATATTCTGAGTTTGTTTATCCATCCATTGAAGTGAGACTTCATCTTGAGGTACTTACATGGTCTGTGTATTATCCGTCCATTCAATCTAGTAAACGAAAAACAAAAAAACGAGTCAATACTTTGTTTATTTGTTTTTCCATATAACCAAAAAGTAAAAGATTTGTGTTTGTTTTTGTATTTTTAGCTCAAAACAGAACATATAATAGAGATGGAAACTAAAATAAAATAACTTTTTGTTTTCGGGTTATTGATATCACCATTTCCTGCAACAAAGTCACCGACAACGTGGACCAGAAACTCCAGGCCAGAGCGGTAGAGAAAGGCTAACCTGTTGTCATGGAGATGGACGCATCATCCTACGTATTATTCAAAGCCGCCAGGAGGGTCGAAAAAATGTAGAAAAAATTACAACCAGAGCTCTGTTACGACGTAAGATTTTGGCGCTCAAACTGCTCTGTAGCCTCCCTGCGCGTATGCTCAAAACAGGCGCACTCAAAATCAATAATTGTAAATAAGATTTATTATTTCGTATATATTCTGTTTGAGCTGAAAATTCAAAAACAAACACTTATCTTTTATTTTTTGGCTATATAGAAAAACAAATAAATAAAATATTGACTCCTTTTTTCGTTAACTAGATAATTAATGAATTAATAATTGAATGGACAGATAATACATAAACCTTACATCTGTGAATGAAATGTTTTCCTAGTGTAATTAAAATGTTCATTATGAAGTTATTTTCCTTGCCTTGGCACAAGAAGGCCGAGTGTAGTAGTTAAAAAACATGCCTGTTTTTTAAATATTAGAAAAGCGGTATGTAGTGTGTGAAATATAAATGACGTATGATGAGTTTAGCCAATAAAATATTACTTTTAACTTTTTGAAATTTACATTAAATCAAGTTAAAACACTGGAAAAGTATTAAAGTTTAACTAGAGAACTCCTTCTGCTTGCAACGTGAATCCACGCATGCGCAGAGTCACCTCTATCTGCCAGGGCGTCTCTCTCTCTCTCTCTCACTCACACTCATTGACGGTGTCTCTCTACCACTCTCTCTCTTTCTGGGAAAAACCCGAGCTGGAGGAGAGCAGCACACGGGGGGAGGGAGGCGGACTTCTTCTTCTTCTTCTTCTTCTTCCCCTTCTTCGGATACAGCGGCGGCAGGAGGATATTTAAAAAAAAAAAAAAAAAAAAGAAAACAAATAAGAAAAAATAAATCCACGCACCAAAAACCGCCCCCCTCCGGAGCGGAGCGGCAGAGGAAGGGGAAAAAAAGCACACGGATGTGCCTCCGAAAGCGCAGCGGATACCGCCCTCCGGACCTTATTGATGCCAAGATTGTGAGTATCTGATCGGCTGCATGAACGAGCTCGAACACGGGGAGGGGAGGGGAGCTGCTGCTGCTTTCAGTTTGATCCCCCCCTCCCCGGTGTTCAGTCAGCGGCGGGGCTTTTCCTCGCTCCGCGGTGTTGAGGAGGAAAAGGTCGGTCTCCGTGATTCCCTCCCTCCTTTCCCCTCCTCCCCTCCCACATTTCCTTCTTTCCTTTCTTAGCCCCTTGATCCCTCGTCAAGTCCGAGCAGCAGACCTGAGTAAATGAGTAAATAAGGAGAAAGAGAGGAGAAAAGCCCCTCCGTGTCTCCGTGTTTTTCTGAATGACACCAGGAGGAGTTTTCCCGTGTAGCGCTCAGTCTGCTCCCTCTAATATCACACAGGACACGCTTCACACTGAACGGATTACAGGACACAACTTTCTTTATTTCGCTTTTCTTTTTAGTTTTGCTCGTAGTTAGCATGCTGTGAGTTTGACGCTCAGCTTTTAGCCGTTACAAACCAACGTCAGTTCACGTCAGTTAACGTCTCAGCCGTTAAAAGTCAGAGAACATTCTGGAGTTTGACCAAAAGGGATGGACTGGTTCACTTTAAACACAAAGAAATCTACTTTTAAAACAAAACTAATTTTAAACTAGCATTAAAAGTAATTTCATTTTTAGTTGTTTCTGTGTTCTGGTTTGCTGCAAATGTATCTAAAAATTGGTAGAAAGCTACGCTAGCTAAATTCAACTTTACCGGCTTACTTGCCAGTGAGCTAGCTGAAAAAGAAGCTAACCTGGTTAAGCTAGCTTGTCTGGTAAATTCAGCTAGTTTCTTTAACTGATTAACCACTCTGGCCGGTATGACAGACAGCTGAAAGCGGACGAAAGTTACAAACTAAAGTCAGTTTACGTCTGGCTGAAAGCGCACTTAAGTTACGCTAGCTTGGCTACTTTATTTGGCTAGTTTCTTTTGCTAATTAGCCACTTTGTTTGGCCGGTCTGACAGACGCTGAGCTTTTAGCCATTACAAACCAATGTCAGTTAACGTCTGGCTAAAAGCACACTAAAGTTACTCTAGTTTGGCGACTATAGTTGGCTCGTTTCTTTAACTAATCAACCACTTTGTTTGGCCGTTATGACAGACAGCTGAAAGCGCACTAAAGTTACGCTAGCTTTGCTACTTTATTTGGCTGGTTTCTTTACTCTGTTTGGCCAGTATGGCAGACGCTCATCTTTTAGCCGTTACAAACCAACGCCAGTTAATGTCAGTTAACTTCTCAGCCATTAAAAGTCAGAGAACATTCTGGAGTTTGACCAAAGAGATGGATTGTTCCACTTTTAACACACAGAAGTCTACTTTTGAAATAACTAATGTCAAACTAGCTTTTAAAAAGATTATATTTCTAGTTTTTGTGTGTTCTGGTTCGCTGCGAATGTATCGTAAAATTGGTAGGAAGCTACGTTAGCTAACTTCAACTTTACCGGCTTATTAGCAAGTGAGTTAGCTGGAGAAGAAGCTAACCTGGTTTAGTCTTTCATGTTGACTCTTTACTATGTCAGTTAACAAAATGTTCAAAAATATCAATTCATTGCCCTAGTTAACTGAAACTGGATTTAAAAAAAACCCAAAACATTAGTTTGGCTGAAAGCACATTAAAATTTTGCTAACTTGGCTACTTTATTGGGCTAGTTCCTTTAACTTAACAACAACTCCGTTAGGCCGGTATGACAGACAATGTCAATTAACGTCTGGCTGAAAGTGCACTAAAGTTACGCTAGCTTGGCTACTTCATTCGGCTAGTTCCTTTTGTTAATCAGCCACTCTGCTGTGGCAAAATAAAATCTGCAACCTCAGTCACTGTCAATAACAATGAGTTTTGGTTCAGTTCATGATAATCGTGTTTTATTCACCTACTTACATTATGTTCCCTCTTTTTTTCTTACTGTCTTTGTGAATTGTGAGTTGGTCGTGACCTCGCAGGACTTCATGATATGTTTCGGTTATAAGCTTATACCCATGAAGTTCCCAAAAGCCAGTTCTACAGAAGTCTGGCCCTTATCTTGTTGTAATCAGTCTCATGAATCTTCACGCTAAATACAAAACTTTTTAGATTATTAATCATTCCCATATAAGGCTGAGCCTCTGAATTGGCGGTTTAAAGAGGAAGAGGCTCGGAAAAAGCAGAAATAAGTGTGCTGTCACGATAATGCTCGCTGCCAGTGTCTTTATCCCTTTATTGAGTAGCTAAAGCCTTTTGATGAAAGTAAAGGTATTACACCGGAAAGTGCTTTTGAAACTAGAAGTAAAGGTGCGAGGCGGTTTCACATGTGAAATATGCTCTTTGCATTTCCTCTTTTTTTTACGATGTGTGTCAGCCCGGGCATGTGTTCCCTCTGGCTACGACATGTCATAATCATCTCCTCGTATCTGAATGAACAGACTTTTAGGGGTCTTTACAAGGAGTCAGCTCATGTTGCAACTCTTTTTAACCCTCCTAAAAAAAGAGAATAATCAGAAATCCCTGCATGATGTGTCACACAGTGTATTTGGGGATTTTCACCATGGTAACAAGGATCAACAGTATCAGCCTCAAACGCCTGGAGTTAATTTGGGGTCCAAACTCTGAGATCAGGGAACACACCACCCCTGTCATGTACTGACTTTTACCCAACTGAGTTTTTTTCCTACTTCCTGTTACCAGTTGGTACACACTTCCTCTTCCTGCCTCTTTCTTCATTGTGTCTGTTGCTTGCTTCCTCTTTTGTTTCTTAAGTTGGTCATCGCCTTCCCTTCTCGTGCCCCTTTTCCGTCACCTCCCGTCTACCCCTTGTTTTCTTGTTGTTCAGTTTGGTTCCAACGTTGTAAAACAAGCGTTAAGCGATGACATTTGCATACACGCTTAAGTTAAGTTTGAACTCAATTGGCCGTGTCTTTGGCTGGAGCTGTTACCACACAACAGGAAATGGAAACTACACGTAGTCAGTGTTGATTTGGAGCTAAAATAAAAATATGGTCTTTAATCAGCCTGTCAAATCTCAGATAAGCATTAGCCTAAATATTTGTGACTAACAGTTTATCTCACTTGTTAGCTTAGAGACCAAAGTCCCTGAATTAGTCCCTGCTGTTTCTCCAAAATGACTTCTTAGCATCATTAGCTTCCCTTATTGAAACTAATTGGCATGATAAGCAGCAACCTTGCCACTAATCTCTGTCTCATGGTTTCGATGTGCAATTCAATTACTCACTTCAAGAGGATTTCAAAGGAAAGCGAAGCCCGGGGGCTAACTTTCGAAGGGTAACTGCTATTTAAAATCTCTGTCACCAAGTTTTTTTTTAACTTATTTATTAAGTAAAGCTTTGTTCAGTGCACACGCTTCCCCCTTTTCCCCCTCTTTGGCTGTCACTTCACTTTATTTAAAAAACAGATAATTTGTAGTTGGTGTTTTCTTGCAGATTGTTTTCCAGAGATACAGAAATTCTCAGTTTTCCATCCAATCCGTGCACAATTTACGTGAAATTCCAGTTTTCTTCTTAACCAGATCGGACATTTGTTGTTGTTTCCTTGTATCCGTATACTTGTGCTGGGTCTTGATAAAAACTTATATTAAAGTCACTTTCAGCTCCGTAGTTTGGCAGTGTGCTTTCTTTATCAAAGTCCATTGGTAGTCATGAAAAGGCCAGGATTCGTTCCACTGTTTACGAGTGTCAAAGTGATTTTCCGGCACATTATGTGGAAGATTAGTCCCCATTCCCAGCCTCAAGGTGGGAAACTTGCATATCTGATTGTGTATTATTACTGTGTCCAGAACCAGGAGGGAGATCAGCTCATCACTGAGGATTTACATCTAAATTTACTGACACAATCGAAATGCTAGTACAAGTAAAGAGATTGTGTTTTGGAGGCACTGCTGGTTAAATAACCGTCTATTTTACGTCATGTCAGCACGCTAACGTCACAAAGTTTAAATACTGTACATGCTGTACAGTACTCCAGTAAACAAGGTCACGCCTCAAACTGTAACACCTGAGTCTGAGCTCCATCATTATCAGACTCCTGCAGGATGAGACATCAAACATGTGTACCAGTGTATAAATCAACAAACGGTGAATTTTACCATCGCATCCGTGATTCTTTAAAGATAAATCTCAACCAGGGCTAAGGTTAGCTGCATCCTGATGTCAGCTGATGTATACTGAACCCTGATTTGGTCCAGAATATGTACTCTTTTTTTCCCTGTTCTGGTCAAATCTGGTCCTGGAGTGAAGATCTTTTCATGTTTTGGATCTGGATCTGAAAATGCAAAGGTCCAACTTCTTCTCCTTTCGCTCCAGACGCCAGAACTCAGCGAGTATTTATCAGTACCAGCTCCCTCCTTTTCCTCCTGAATGAGTTTGACCCCACAGCGTGGAACTCATGGGGGATTTGTTATGTAACGTAACACGAAGCCGGGGATTTCTACGGCACCAGGATCTGAGTTGGAGATTCAAGTCCTGATTGACACATGATCCCTGAACCAGGAGAGGATCCGCCCGCTTCATTTATGGAATGAGTCATTTGTATGATGGCGCTTTAATGTGTGAAAGAGACACATATGCTAATGAGATAAGAGTCGCCGTGGGACGCCATCGCGGACAGAAGAAGCCTCTTGATTTGATCGTCTCTCGTTGGGACGTCCTCCGAGTGTTTGCAGAAGAGAAGTTCAGGGAAACATACGCTCATTCTCTTTTTCTTTAAATGGATTTTACTCGTAATCGAATCAAACTCAGTCCTGCATGATCAGATTTATTCCAATATGTCTTTGTCAGAGTTTTGCATTGAGGTTAGTCGACTCCTGCACATGCTCACTGTGGCCTTTTTTCTCTCCTCCTGTGTGTGTGTGTGTGTGTGTTCATATATTTTGGGATGAATGTAAATCCATCTGGATGATTGGTGCATTTGTTCACTTTACTTTAACTTGTGTTCATGGATCTCATTTTTTCATCATTTCCTCTTCATGACATATTTGCATACTTTTATTTGGGCATTATCCGGTGTGTGTGGGTACATTTATGTGCGTGTGTGTGTGTGTGTGAACAAAGGAGAGGTCCGAGGCAGAAGGGGGGATGACATGCATGTGCCCGGCCTGCTAACATCGCTGACGACTCACACACTAACCGACTGCCCGCCCTCTCGACATGACCGACGTCCTGGTAAACCAGCCGCTTCTTTCTCCTCTCCTTTCTCTTTCTTCCAAACTTTTCCTGGTGTTTAATTTCTCTTTTTGTAGCTAAAGCGTGAATCTACTGCAAGAAGAAACATCTGTAAGGAAGAGTAAGAGTTGAGTTAAGAAAGGGGGCAATCCAGAGATTCATAAAATCTGTGCAAACGGGGGCAAAGGCAAACTAATTTTAGATGCTTGTGATCTTCAGGCCCTCAGGCAGAGTGGAACTAAAAACAGGCGTGCCTCTGTAGTGGAAATCTCAGCATGAACTCAGAATCACTTTGAGTTAACACAGTTTGTCACTGCATCCTTAGTCGCAGATTAAAACTGTATCAGGAAACAAAGACACTATAGAGGAATATAATTCAGAAACCTCTTTTGGTCCAATCCCAATCCCAGCACCGCCTTCATGACCAAATCGAGTGAACTTTCAAACTCTTTCTGAGCAGGAAGTTGAGAGGATTTTGTACCTTTTTGAGATGATAACACTCAGTCCGTTTACATGACACTCGAGAAAACCGAATTATCGCCTTACTCCGATTAAGACCGGACAACTGAAGTGCATGTAAACACCTCAGTCCGACTATAGACGCACAACCATGGGGCAAAAGCCTGCTTCAGAGTGAACTTCTATCAGTAAAGATGCTCTATTGTTTGCAAGTTCTCCCTGAAACAACTGCAATAAAATGTCATTTCATTGAAAAATCACTTTGTCTTTGCTGAAATGTCTGTGAATTTCACTCACTTTACCAGGTTACGATGTTGTTTTAGATGTTTCTAAAACAGGAGCAGAGTCGTCATGTTTGCCGATTGTTTGTTTTGCAGAATCTTAAAGTTTACAGCACAACAGCTCTTTGTCTTTTTCTTTCTCCGTTGACTCCCTTGACGAATAAGAAATGTCCCACTTTCTGCCCCCTGGCTGCGCACGCATACTAGAGCATGACACGGGAGCAGATTTTCACTCCTGTCCCGTCCCACTCCCAGAGAAAAAATCCCGTCCCGTCCCAATCCCGTAGAATGACTCCCACTCCCATCCCGCTCCCGTTTGAATAAAACCAAACATGTTGTTGTTGTTGACGGTTGTATGGGGTCGGAAACAGCGCCGCTGAAAAGACCTATATCACCCCCTAGTGTTGGGGAGGAGGACAGGTTCACGTCAATAATCCGATTTTCTCAGCTGCGTGTAAATGAGGACAAGGAGAGAAGGGCTAAGCTTAGTCCGAATAAACTGTGCATGTTAACGCACTAACTGACTGTTTCTGTGAATTTCTGGTCTGTATTCGACTGTTCCGAGCGATTCTGGACACAGGTTCATGATGACGGCTCAGTTTTAGTCCCAACAAGACGGTAAATAACTTTCCACCTATCGAAATAATTCTTTGTTGCAGCCCCAGTTACAAAATTCAGTTTCGTGGGTCCTTCAAAGTTGTGTTGTGATGTTTTGCTGTCAGCTGAAGCATTAAGATGAATCCTCTCAGAGTCCTGGATAATGTGAACTCTCTCAGCACCTCTGCAGACAGACCGCATCCGTCTTTTTAACTCTTCTCACCATCAGTGAGCGAAAGAAAGAAGGAAAGAGGCTCTGCGAGGCGGAGAAAAAGGTGTTGTTGAGTGATGCATGCATGCCTGGAACATCTCTGCAGCAGCTTTTCACAGTTTGATGCTGTTGTGAAAGAGAAGGAAAGTCGACAAGTCCAGACCTGGACCCCGAGGTGTCCAAGTCTGGAGAAAGAAGGAATTTAAATCCTGGTTTGGAGCGCTTTCTCTGACAGCTATCATGGCGGTAAAGGTTCATGCACTCATGATGAGCGGGGCTGGGTGAGTGTGTGTGTGTGTGTGTGTGTGTGTGTGTGTGTGTGTGTGTGTGTGTGTGTGTGTGTGTGTGTGTGTGTGTGTGTGTGTGTGTGTGTGTGTGTGTGTGTGTGTGTGTGCAGACACCAGGTCTGATTCATCAAGTTTCAGAAAGAAACCAAGAAGCTGTGTCACAATACCTCTGACTCTGTTTCCTGTCTCTCTCTCTCTCTCTCTCTCTCTCTCTCTCCCTCACTCTTTTGCTCTCTCTCCATCTTTTCCTGTTGCCTGAGACTGCCTTTCGTCTTTCGTCCTCTTTTACTGGAGTGAAGACGTGTTGATTGATGGAGCGATTGTAGCTGCGAGCGAGAGAAGGAGAGCGCCCAAAAGACAGAGCTGTTTGTTCTCTCACTCAGTCACTCATTCATTCATTCATTGAGGATCCAGGATTGAGTCGTCTCCTCTCTGGTGAGCTTTGCTGCTGAATGATTTCTGTGTGCCGACACTTGGATGAGACGGTTATCCAAGTGGGGCTTTGGCGTGTTTAGTGCGCTCTTTAAGGTCGTATCAGGCAGAGTTGAGTCGGTGTTTTACTCTGAATGATGATCTCTTGAATCGATGCGGTTTAATGATCTCTCTGAGGAGCTTCTCTTTTGTCGCTCTGATGAAACTCTTTCCAAGATAACCGTGAAAATGCGCCGTCATCAAACTTCGTCACGACTGTTGGTCTCAGTTCCTGAAAAGTGGACATGTGGGAGGTTCTGCTCTTAGCAAATCTACTCTGAAGGACTAAACCAATCATCTACAGTTTTGACAGACTGGAGGGTTTTCGTTTTCCAAACTTCAGGTAGGTTTTGGTTTTAGGTAAGATGTGAAAGTTGCTGCTTTTGGGATTTCCTGTTTGCACCTTAAAAAAGAAATCAGTAAGAAGGTGGAGGAGGATTTAGAAAACCTTTAGATGTACAGGAAGTAGATCATGCTTGAGACAGGTGTTTGACAGACATCAGTTTCCTATTGGCCGATGCCGATAATTAGCCCTTTAATGCCTTTTGTATCAGATTTGATACTTTTATGATACTTCTATCAAATCAATATGATCAACAAATTACTAAAAAAACACCTGAATACAGTCCGATAAATGATTAAAATATCCTCTTGTGGTTTATCAGTTTCCAAAAACATCTAATGGATCAAATGAGATAACTTTATATTTGTTAAATTTTGAGGATGTTTGGATTTTTTTGGTTATATAAACATTTCATCTCCAAAAAAATTAGAATTTGTGGTTTCAGGTGTTAAAGGGTTAGAGCGTTTGTTTTTTTAAATGATGATGACATGAGAAATAAAGTTGCTGAACTTTTTTTTTTAATATTGGTC